TCACATCCAGGCATCAGAGCAACAACAAAGCTCATTACCGAACGTTTTGTATGGCCTAAAATCAACTCGGATGTTAAACGATGGACACGTAGTTGCCTCCAGTGCCAACGCAGTAAGACGCAAAAACACATCTACAGTCCAATTGGGAAGTTACCTATCCCTGACAAACGCTTTCAGCATGTGCATTTAGATTTAGTTGGGCCTCTGCCACCATCAAACTCTTTCACACATATCCTCACTGCAATAGATAGGTTCACAAGATGGGCCATAGCATGCCCCATTAAAGACACATCAGCAGAAACAGTCGCTTCAGTTTTCCTCGACCGCTGGATATCCAACTTTGGTGTACCATCAACAATCACAACAGATCGCGGTCCCCAATTCCAATCCGTCCTATTTCACGAGTTCACTAAACTTCTTGGAGTAAATCATGTTAAAACGACAGCTTATCATCCGGCAGCTAATGGCATGGTCGAAAGATTCCATCGCCAATTAAAAAGCTCTCTGATGGCACAATCGGACTCTTCAAAATGGAGCGATGCCTTACCACTCGTTCTCCTTGGGATTCGCTCGTCAGTGAAGGAAGACATCGGATGCACGGCCGCTGAACTAGTCTATGGCACGACATTAACGTTACCAGGACAACTGGTCAAGAATGAACCCACAACGCCAGGAGACCCTACTCGTTTTGTAAGCAGATTACTACAAATGATGCAGAACATCAAAGCAATACCACCTAGAGAACACAACAACCGAGTCCATCTCGATAAACATTTAGAAACGTGCAAATTTGTTTTTGTTCGAGTAGACGCGGTAAAAAAGCCACTGACACCACCGTATGAAGGCCCTTATAAAGTAATAAAACGCACTCACAAATATTTCATTATCAATAAAAATGGGAACAAGGAGACAATTTCCATTGACCGAATTAAACCAGCTTTCTACGAAGTCCCTCAAGCCACAGAAGACAATGCTGCGAACAAACAATCACTCCCATCAATTGCTAAGAAACAAGAGGAAGAGGAAAAACTTAGCACTACACCCTCTTGTTTAACACGATCTGGGAGACTTATAAAAAAACCAAGGCGTTATGTACATTTTGCCATATAAAAAAAAACAAATAAAACAATCAAAGCAAACAATTATCGAGGACCTACACTATCAATCCCATCTAAAAAAATTTTTTTTTTCTTTTCACAGTGTTCATAATTAATCACATTTTTTTCTACAATTATTCGTTTTGTCACATTTTTTTAAAAAAAAAAAATTGTAACAATAATAAACGGGTAAACTCTTTTTAATTATTTATTCATTATACACAAAATAAACAGCTCAATTTTTTTGTGTGTGTGTGTGGGTTATTAAAAGTTTTACACATTATTATCCTTGTTAGCCAAACAAGACATTAAATGACAGTATTTCCTCTTCTTTTTGTATTCGTTATGCTATGCTACATTATTGCTATTCTCAAACGACAACACACTCCATCTTATTCATGTTTATGTCATATCCATCTCTACAACTTTTGTTGGTTATAACTGTGAATATTATTTTTGTATATACACATATATCATATTCTTACATTTTTTTTTATTATAACCAGTGTTACCTCCGGACACTCTGGGGGGAGCTATGTGGAGATAGGTCTGACAAGCTTATCTTGCAAATAGTTTTTAATATTTGTATTTGTCAATTTCTCACTGAATGTACATTTATCATTAAATGATTGTACCTGTTGTTTAAAAAAATGACCTTGAAGACTTTTTCCGTTGTGTTACTAACATAGCGTGACATACTTTTGGTGGTTCGCAAATACACTACTACGCACATACGCATTGTTCTATTCTCGCTCGTTACCGCGTCAATTGCTTTCTAAACTGGATATTATCCTCATTTTAGACTGCTGTGTCATTTCCATCATATCCTACGTCAGAGAAACTTATTGCCGTCATATTTACCCCTGTGGAATTATTACGCATTTATAATTGTGGGTTTATGGGACCAAAACTCAACGGAATACGCAACCACTAGCCGATTTAAGTAACGTCCCTGAACTTTTAATTTGTGTTGTTAATTTATAAACTATTATTGTTACATTAATTTTGGACGTAATAACTTTATCACTGATTTTTGGTTATTATACTTTTTGGTCCACCACAATATTACTATTGCTTTTTATTAACTTTGTTGATACTTTTTGCGTTTATATATCGTCTGGTTCACCAAAATTATTTGGTAAGCCTCGTGTTTATCCTAACTGTTATATTGTTTATCATTTCATACAATTTACTGGTTTATTTTTCTCGTAATGTCCTCTGACACTAAACTCATTGACATGGATTCGCCTCCAGTAACAACTTTTGTCTCATTGTCGAACTCTACCGAAAATAATTTTAGTTCAGTTAATACTATCTCAGAATTCAGACTCCCAACTTATGGAGCTAATAATCCAAGAGTCTGGTTTGCACAAATTGAAGCTTTCTTCATGGCTAGAGGCATAAGATCTCAGGCGACAAAGTATGCATATGCAGTCGGCGCACTTCCTATTGAGGTTACCGCTGAAGTCGGGGATTTAATCGATCACGTGCCAGAATCTGAACCATATGATAAGATAAAAGCAGCAGTAATTCAACGTACATCGGTCTCAGATGAGAAAAGGCTACAACAATTGCTAACGTCTTGTTACTTGGGAGATAAAAGACCCTCTCAACTTCTCCGCCACATGAAACAACTCGCCGGTCCTTACAAGCTAGACGAAGCCCTCCTAAAGCAAATGTGGTTTCAAAGATTACCACACAGTGTTAGACAAATTCTCAGTGTCTCAGGGAAATCCGTCGCCCTTGACGACTTAGCCGACATGGCGGATAAAATGATGGAAGTATACCACGACAATCACTGTGTGAACTCACTGCAACCACCTGGACCGGCAGATATTAGCTGTTTAGCCTCCTTTCAAAAGTAGTTAACGCAATTAACGAGCCAGCTGGCGTCACTGCAATCGACCATAGCAACCATCCAAGCTAGACAATCTAGATCCCCCTCCAAACGAAGATCTTTTTCCAGACAACGATCTCGGTCACCGAAGCGAACATCTGAAGTTTGTTGGTACCACCAAAAATACGGCACCAAAGCACGGCGTTGCACACGACCGTGCACATTTTCTGCGGCTGACACAGAGAATCAGGGAAACGGCCCGTCCAGACAGTGATGGCGGCGTCTGTTACTGGCCAACAAGTTAGCCGCTTTTTTCACATCAGGGATCGCATTTCTAGCTCGGATGTTTTAGTCAATACAGGAGCAGAGATTAGCATTATCCCACTTCACCTCTCCCGAAGACAAGAAACAACAAACACTAAGCTGTCTCTCATTGCGGCTAACGAATCAATTATCGAAACTTACGGAGAGCAATCTCTTATATTAGACCTTGGACTCCGAAGACGATTCACATGGGTTTTCATAGTTGCCCAAGTCAAACAACCCATCCTCGGAGCTGATTTCCTCGGTGCCTACAATTTGTTAGTAGATATGACCAAGAAGAGATTGATCGACGCAAATACACGTTTACAGGTAGATGGTACACCTTCCAACGACTATGAAATCCATGGTGTACGGATAATGAAACCTGCGAACAACGTTTTCAACGACAGTCTGTCAGAATACGAATGCATCACGAAATCAGATTATCAAAAGGAATGTAATCCACATCAGGTGCAACACCACATAATTACCACCGGTCCACCTATTAGCGCCAGGGCGAGGAGACTACCGCCAAGCAAGTTGCAAGTAGCTTAATTAGAATTCGAACATATGATGCAACTTGGTATTATTAGACCATCCAACAGTCCTCGGGCCTCGCCGCTGCATATGGTTTCCAAGAAAGATCAAGACTGGCGCCCATGTGGAGATTATCGCCGATTGAATAACCAGACTATCTCAGACAGGTATCCAATCCCTCATCTGCATGATTTTTCTTTAAATCTACATGGAAAACAGATCTTTTCAAAGTTAGATCTAGTCCGAGCATACCATCAAATACCGATGGCACCTGAGGATATCGAGAAAACAGCCGTAATCACACCTTTTGGCTTTACTGAAAAACGATAAATCAGGTACCAAGAAAGAAAAGAACCAAGTTACGTTCCGATGCCAAAGTAGCATTTGAAAAAGCTAAATCCATGATTGCTAATGCTACCATGCACCAACACATAAATACTGACCCCACAACACTGTTGATCCTATTCACGGATGCTTCACAAAACGCCGTCGGGGCAGTATTACAACAGCGGGTAAACAACACGATTACCCCCATTGCCTTTTTCTCCAAGAGATTATCGCCAGCACAAGAACGTTATAGTACTTTTGGACGCGAAATCTTAGCTATGTATTTAGCAGTAAAACATTTCAACTTTTTGCTACAGGGTCGTGATTTCATCATTATGACAGATCACAAACCCCTTTACCATTCTTTTAGCACATCGTATGACAAACACTCCCCACGAGAAGCAAGACAACTTGATTATATCTCCCAATTTACCACAGACATCAGGTTTATCAAAGGTCACACGAACATTGTCACAGATGCACTATCTAGGAGGGATATCAATACGATGGTACTCAATCATGACATCAGCCTTGAAACCTTGGCTAAATTACAAGCAGACGATGCAGAATGAAAAGCCTGCAAAGAAAAGTCTAGCTTAGAACTCAAACCTGTACCCATTCCTCTTTCAGATGCATTTTCCTGTTACTGGGTACAATACGTTAAAACTATCCATTTTCCAAATATCTTGTTGCTCCCAGGAATAAATTTAATTACACTGTGTTCTAATTTGTCGAGTCACTCCCCAGTAACGTTACGTAAGACACATTGTATCGCAAAGATAAATCATTACATTGACTAGGTCGCGATAAATAAAGACTTGACAGTAATAATTCGTTAACAGATATGATGATTCTTTAAAATGCTTCACAATATAGTGTCCATTGTTTAGTTTTTTGAATTCCAAGGTCGCAAACGGCAAATTTTCAAAGACTTCAAGAAATCATGTGTGGATTTCGCTTGGTGAAGATTATAGGTCGCTCGTGCACCAATCTAACTGTTCGTGGATATCAAAAAATGAGTTGTGATACTATCAATCCTCATGTGGTGAAGCTTCAGTATGCTGTCCGTGGACCGATAGTACTTAGGGCGCTAGAACTAGAGAGAGAAATATCCCAAGTTAGTTCATTTTAGCTATTAATTATAATCAGGGATCAAAAAAAAGATTCAACAAAATTATCCGTTGCAATATCGGAGACTGTCATGCGTCTGGTCAAAGGCCCATCTCATTTATTCGTGAAGTTTTGTGTGCCGCGACAAATTCGCATATAATGGATACCAACTTAGTTCAAGACGATGCTAAATTAAGAGCCAGGAGATTTTTGGACAGTTGTGGTGGAAGTGTTGGTAATTCATTTGAATAAACTCATGATTTTTTGACCAGACCATATCAATTATTCGAAGTGTGATTTTACATGACGTATGTTAACGTTATCTCAGTCGCTTAAAATGTTTAATCGAATGCTGTTGGTTACTAGTCCAACGGTTCTCATTCCCCTTGCTTCAGTAATAGCATCCGGGAGTCCCTTGGAAATTAATTTAGTCCGTCAACTGCGTGTGTATTAATAAAATTAATACAACTAACACTAGTCCTAATTTGAATCAACTGGCTCGTTCAGCGATTTCATTTTCTATCAAATAGAGTGGGTATTTCTACGAAGTCCTGACGTATGTTTTGTGTTTGGCATCATTATGTGACTTCGTTTAAATTTTTAGATATAACGCTAGATATACCAAGTTAGTACCGCCATTCATTTTCATTACACTTATATGTCTGGTAATATGCCTTTAACAATTAAAAACACTAAAACTGATGATTAGACCCATCCTAGTGAAGGTGAGCGACACGTTAGTATCGAACGACAGTGATGTCAAGTTCTCCTAAACATTATGTACAGATAGTTTGCGTCAAACCAACAGGTAACTGGCAAGTAAGGGGAAAATATCAGGGAAATACTACTATCGGTTACTCACAAACGTAAACGAGTTTGATTGCCAAGTTGATTAGCTATTTTGTGGACAGGCATACTAAGGAATATTATGAATAATTACTATTTTAAACTGCTTTCTGTGGATTGTTTACCATTGCAACAGTTCCTTTCGGTGATTTCATTGTCATTTTTACTTGAATTGGGAATTCTATAAGTATTCATCAACAAACAAATTAATACCCCTTCATGAAATATTCAACTAGTTAGTGTTTTTACTTTTTGAGACAACAGATGAAGTTAACCGCAAGAGATTTTGAAAATAACTAAATGACATGGGTAAGTAAAAATATTGACCTGGAGCGACAATAAATTCAAAACTTAATAGGAGCCCAGTGGATAATTTTTAGGAAGAATTTCAGTTTCAGGTTCATCAAACGGTTGGTCATACAAAGAAATGTTAACTACTGTATTCAGCACCAATATCCTAGCAAGTTAATCAATATCTTCAAACTTGAAGATGTAAGTCTTCATGCTCGTATGTACCTTTTGCTAAAGATACATAGTATTATAGACCAGTTTCTTTGTGACGTTTGGTTTTAAGTAGTTGTTCTGCTTAAGTTACTTCGTGATAAATTTCACTTTCAGACAGATTGGTCTATTTTGCCTTGCAACTCCTGTAGGTTTGCTTAATTTACAGACGCCACATTCGTTTATGCCCACTTATATTCAAAATCTAACAAGCTAAGTGTAAATCAGCTAAGGTCAACATGACTTACTATACTGTTGCAGATTACAATTCGCTAATGAAGTGTGATAGCGTAAAATACGAAAGGGTTTTAAATAAACGGAAGTCAAATACGTAAATACTCCGTCACAGCTGTGACTAATTTACGATACATTCTCTGATCAATAACTCAAATTATAATTGTTTAGTCGTCTTAAAGTCATATTATGTTCCTGCTTCAGTCAGTCTCGGACTCCAGTGGTTTCAACTAACTGAAATTCACCGTCTTATTGGTGCACCTAACTTATGCAGTTGGACTTTGGTATGGTTTTCGTTCACCTAAATTAGAATTGTTGTCATGATCCCACCCATGAAGATTCCTCTGAACTTTTAATTTACTAATAGTTCACCTTTGAAGTTGAAAATATTATGGTTTCAGTTGTAGACCAAAATAATACTGTTGTGGATGTTTGGTAGTTAAAATTAAAATACCGCTAAGCTTTATGATCTGTTGTTAACAAAGTGTAGACTAACAGATGCCCAATAACTTTATTACCTATGGACGTATAATTAATTTTTCATATCATAGGAGTCTACAGCCAGTCTACAGGCGTAGAAGTTGTCCGCGAAGATGTTGCACAATACATAAAACAACGGGATCAGTTATCAGCTAATCCCCAAAATATTTTCTTATCCAATGGGGCAAGTGAAGCCGTTAAGGTAAGTATGATTACTTTTATTGTTTGTTAATTACCGGTTTGGTATTCATGTGCACAGGAATTTATATTTCCACTTAATGAAATCATTGAGTCGTGCGTTTGAGATAGCCGTAAACTTATTACAATATAGTTCGCTCTCTGAAATTGGAAATTGTACTCGAACAAGGAAAACCCAACACAATTTGTAGCTTTAAGGGAACAATATAGTTGTATTTAATAAACTAGAATTTCTCTGGCTTGTTCAAAACCTACTTTGTCAATCGCGAACAAACCAGTACATGAAGACAGGAGAAGAAGGTAAATACATATGAATTGGCTTTATTAAATATTGATAAAGAAATGTAAAAATGTGTAAAGTATTAATCGATTATGATAAGATATCCAAAGATTAAAATAAAGTCAGGACTTTTGTCTTCCTTTCTGGGTTTTTGTTGTAAGCTCGTTAAACGTATATTCGAATCTATATTGGAGGTATATTCTGCATTGTCTGGAATTGACTCACTTGTTTCAAAAGTAATAATATGGATGCAACCGAATTCATATGGGTTCTTGAAGCATATTTGGTCAAGACGACGATTTAGTATACTCAGATCGTCAGAAACAAAATTCTTAAGATTTTCTTGGTCGTGGGAGCGGAACGTTTGGAAGCAGTAACTAGTTTAGGCACTTATAAGATACAGTAATCAATTTGTTAAAACCTCTAACTACCATTAGAAGAAGTTCTACTTCAAGTGTTTTATGGTCTGTAGATCAAGCATCGATTATCCAATTCCGTTCATCATAAACTTACAAGTCATGAACTCGAAATTTTCATCATTATTTTGCAACTTTTATCATCCGAAAGCTGGAAGTTTACGTCCAGTAATATTCATGATAAAGACCAAACTTCAAGAGAGAAAAGATACCCAAACAATTGTGTTAGCTGTACAAGAAGACAAAGCTTCAAATATCAGTAATTAGTAAAACTGCACATAACAAAACTTTCCCAGTGGTCCACTTTAAAACAGGATACTCACGCAGTGTAAAGAACACTTTGTACGAACGAGTTAACTGGCATTCAGCTACACACCAGTTACCTTATTTGAATAATTATATCTAGCCTCTCAGTCGCATCTAAGTTGGAAAGTCCGTAACTGTCTTAGACATAATAACAGAAAACACTGATATTATAATTCCAGCTTTTGAGCGTCATTACTGATTAAACTGACGAGTATTAGTTAGAAATTTGGAGTGGAACGTACTTCCACCTGGCTGGTGGTAATCACTGGTTGTTTCACCTCATGAGGGGAAGCAAAAAATCGTTGTGTTGTTCCGATGACACAATAGATGGGGAACTATCTCAACTTCAACAAACTCATTAGAAATGGTTATTCACCAAAATTCGTCGATAGCGACTCAACACCTAGACTTCATCAGGAAAAAGCATCGACAGTACAGAAGAAAACTCTGTTTATGAACATGAAATTTAAAGGAGATACGGCTGCTAAAATCTTAAATTAACGGATTTCAAGATCGTTGAATAAAACATTCTACGCAGCTAAGCTCCGAATTGTTTTGTCTAACCGACCTACCATTTGGGATGTGTTCAGGATAAACTTCCGCTTTGGGCCACATCAATGTGTATCTATAAATTTACTTGCTCATGTGGGGCACGTTACATAGGCCGAACAAAGCGATCACTTTCCAAACGCATCTTGGAACACCATCCGGCTTGGCTCTTAAAAGGAGAATGTAAAACAATTACCAGTTAGGTACAGGAGCATTTAATTAGTTGTGGATACATTGCTCCAAAGGACTCTTCTTTTAAGGTAATCTACAGGGCCAGAGGAACTGGATCGAAGGGGGGTCGAATCAATATTTTATGCACTGCCAAGGCATTGGCAATCCATAAACTCAAGCCTGAACTTTGCATGCAGAAACGATTTGTCCAACTTCTCATCCTTCCTTGGCCCTAATTCCTTCGATGGGTACGTTTCTGGGTTTTTCTATTCTTTTTCTGCTTGTTCTTCTGCACTTTAATTTGAATTTTTTGAATTACTGTTTTGCATTTTAAACTAATGAGTTATTAGTACTACCTTATGCAAGTTTTCTTTATTATTATTCAGTCTATTATTATGACCTCTGTGTTTGTCGCTTTTCTTCATATCTGTCAATTGAACTCCATAAATTATTTTCTTCCTTACTCCTTGATTAGTACGTGACCTCGTTTGTTATTTATTCTCGAATCCATTTTTGTAATGCAATCTTTTCTATCCTCCTATAGACATATATTTTCCATATAACTATATTTACGAATGTACAGCTTAAGCAAATGATTTCGTCGAAAAGAAGATTTTCTTCTCTGAATTCTCTTTTTATTTTGTTCCTCTTTTGAAAATTCTTGTGGTGTTGTGTATAATGATTACTACCAGAGGCTTTATGTGCCCTTCATCAACTGTTTATTTAATCATTGGTTATTCATCTGATAAATCTATAGTTGAAGCTAGTTTAAAATATTTTATTGCTTAACACAATAATTTATGAAGATTATAAACTTACTGTTATTCACATAATGTATGAGAGTGGGATGAATCTGTCTTATACCGATTCTTAAATTAAAATCTCACTACAAACATGTGGAAACTGGTAGGTTCAATAATTTGTAAATTCTTCAATACATTTTTATTCGTTGCTTAATGTTACAACAGATTTATTTCGCTCTTTTTAAGATTAAAGTAAGTCCAACAATTTTCGTCCCTAGCTTCTCTCACGTGAATACCTAACGATCTGTATAGTATATGAAGATAATATAATTCTATTGAAGTTCATATATACAGTGCTGTAAATGTTTTCTGTACCGTCATATGGTTATAAGTCATGATTATAAACGATAGAAAGTTTAAAAAGCAATATATATATATATATAATCTTCATATTTCCTTTAGTCAATTCTTCAATTGATATCCACTGGAGAAGATGGATCCAAACGTTCTGGTATTATGGTCCCCATACCTCAATATCCTCTTTATTCAGCAACAAATGCTGAATATAACGCCTATCAGGTAAACTGATCGATTAATATATATGTTCACCATTAACAACATTTATATTGACAAACTGTAATTTCGAGGCTCTAATCCATATTTATTAATCTGTTTATAACATATCATTCAGTGTGATAGTTTCCTAAATAATATTGCTTTTCAGTTTAGCTTCCAGAACATGATGTGTTGTAATCCCCTTAAATATATCTTGGTGACAGTTTTTCAACTATGTTATTATTCTTAAATAGAGTTTTTTTTACCCTAACTCTGTCAGTCAATAAGATAGTGTTTCATCACTGTTAGTGAGCATCTAATTCTTGTACATAACTAACTATTCACATGAGCATGTTGTGGCATAAGCTGACCCACATTTACAAATGATCCGTAACAAAAGCGTTGTGGAGCAAACTGAATACAAAAATAAAACCAATCTATGCACCTTGACTTTATCTCATTTTTATAATGAATAAACTTCGATCCGTATATCAATAACATTTTTTTTGAAAATGAAGGGTTTTATTCTTAAATTTAATTGACCACTATTGACATTCGTCTTTGATATTGTAGTATGCATGAATCATATTTTTATTCACCCATCAGTGCATGATCAGCAAACCATGTAAACGTAGTCATAGTAACATTGATGACATAGTTTTATACTCTATTATTCAGATTAAATATTTCACGTGTGTCTGTACAGATAGATAAAACTATCGTTTTCTGACGAACCAATTACATTTGAGATAATGGCTCTTGTATATTTCCACTAAGTTCAAAATTCAATGACAGGATAGCTTGCACTGTAATAGGAGCTAAGTAAAAACTACTCCAAAAACTTTTTTCATTCCACTTATCTATATTTTCCTCTCGAATTCCATCTTCTATGTCTAAACTTTTCTATTACAACTAATATTATTACTATCTTTGCTGCTCTTGGATTTACTACAACAATTGCATTTTGCTGTGCTATTATGGTATGATAAACCGAATCGATGCGCACATGTAACACATTCTACGTTACGTATAACTGACTTGTTAATAAAAAAAGGTTTTGCTGAGTTACTTTTACCATAACATTAACAATTTTTTGACGTTTCCTTCTTCAGTTCCCTCAAAGTGATTTCTGCTATCCAACTCAGAGAATAAAATTTCAAAAATGATTCTTACTTTCTAAGCAGAGATGGATGGTGGCTAGCAATGAAATCCAGGGTACGCGTTTCTTGAGGTGCAAAAATGAATTCTTACTTTTTGATAAGTTAATATATTTCACATAATCTACAATAGATCTTTTTGATATTAGTTCTCCAATAAGCGACAATCAATCTGTATGCATTTTTTGACCAGAGAAAAAGTATTAACGCTCACTAAAAGTGGATTATGTGCTATGACTCACTGATTCATGTATACACTGTTCTTATTAGTCCATACCAGATCAATTAGTACTTTGGTCAGATTAAATAGATCCAGATTTGAAGTCATAGCCTTTTCAGTTGAATATATATCATTAACCTAAACGCAGCTGTACTTTATTAAAATATAAGTCTATCGAGTTTATCATCAGAAAGACAGCAATACGTAAGTGTAATTTCTCTAGAAATTCCTAGCTGGATTTACTGACCATTTAAACGGGGACTGATTATATTTTTAAACATGTTTTCAATATGACAGACTTGTCCATACTAGTCTTAGTCATAATAAATAAAAAGCTTCATGTTTGCTCTTTGACGTTTGTCGTAAAAACCAAAGTCGAATTACTATAAGAATAGTAAACCTTCAATTTATAGCTTCAATGCACTGCCATATACTTACCAAAAATTCACATACTCTAATCAAATCGTTTTAAAATCTGTTTATTTTTCTCATTAAGATTGATTACTACTTGGATGAATCAAATGGATGGGACCTAAGTATTGAACAGTTGGAAGAAGCTTTAAAAAAATGCGATGATAAATGTATTCCACGTGCTTTGGTAGTAATCAATCCTGGCAATCCAACAGGTCAATTACTATCAAAAGACACAATTACAAACGTTTTAAAATTCGCTTACAAACATAATTTAGTTGTGTTAGCCGATGAAGTTTATCAACATAATATTTATTCACCAGATTCACGATTCATCTCATTTAAACGCGCTTTATATGATATTGGCGGAAGGATTTCCAATGAATTACAGTTAGCATCATTTATGTCATGTAGTAAAGGCTATATGGGAGAGTAAGTTGTTTTTAGAGCATATGCAATTAATTATGACTAGAGTTTTACATCATTTAGTTTCATTGGATGTTAATTGACTACTGTATCATCGTTTAATAAATATTAAATATAGCTCCTGAACTAACAGCTATAACACAATAATCTCATATTTGATGTGATATACATTCAGATATTCACGATGAAAATAGTAAGATCCATGTGTTACTGTTAACCAATGACCTCATAAGTCTCAGTTACTATCTGAAAGAAAGTATATATCTATACATAATTGCAGTCTCTAGAATGAGAGACTAGGAATGTTGTCCTCAGTTATCCCCTCGACGACCAATCCAGAACTTGTCAAAGTCATCATCAAACATCTTTAATCATCATAATAATAAATACAGATTAATTAGTTATCTGGTAGTTTACCTTCTTTATCAATATTACTTAGTAAAATATTATCAGTTTTATTGTGTACTATTGTTATTTGAAACTATACGTTATTCCATCTGACTAGTTTCAATCTATAATCGTCCCAGTTTATAAAAAAAATAGGATAAAAATCCTCTTACGATAAGTACTGAAGAATCAGTCTAACTAATATAATTTCTAAATTATTAGCTTGTATAATTATCCACAGCTTAGATGTGACTAAGAAACAACTAACCTGTAAAAACCAGACTGATTTCACACCTGGATCTGTATGTATAGATCAAATACGTGGGCTTTGTTAAGTTTTCTTTTAATATAGGCATACTAATCCCCCATCTCCTACTAGTTGTATCCCTTAACCTTTAGTTAGTCAACAGTTTTACGAGTGTCTATTTTTTAAAGAGTATCAATCGAATATACCAACTTACTGGAATATTTTTGCTTCTAAATATGATGAGTTGTCAACTGAATTAGTTAAATTGAGTAGTGTGTTTTTCTTTGAACCACATTTTCTGTGCTTAGTTTGTTAAGTTTTTCACTGCTACTTGTACCTATAAGTCTTTTCTATAAATTTTGTATATTTTGTCTCGTTGTACTATAATGTGATGAGAGGATGGTTTCATGTTGTTTATGAATAACTAGACTGATTTATCATTCGAAACTATTAAATATTATTGATTTGTAGTTTATTATCAATGAAGATTCTATAAAACAGTAAGCTGGTATGTATATCAGTAACTCCTCCTTTTATAGTTCAAGAAAACAATAATGACATAATGAAGTATCTGCGCTTGGCCACGGTTAATATATGTATAAAAACCAGTGGAAATGTCATGTTTAGAATACAGTGTCTGTTGTACATTCCACAATCGATGTTGCTCCTTAACTTGAACATGTGTCACTATGCCTTGAAGTTGGAGATATAAGCGCTTATATATTTAAGCTTCAGTTCACATTTTGGGATATGTGCACTAATCAGGTTTTGTTAACCGATATCTAGTTTCCACTAACTAGTTTTCTAATGAGGACACAAAATTCAATGATTTGATATAAAATTACACTGACGGTTAAAAAAAATCTGTTTAATATGTGTCATATGAGGTTGTGGTGAGAATGTAATGTGTGAACAAACCAATGAAAGTAAAGATAGCAATTCTTAGTTTCTGGCGCGAAATTCATCCATCCATACGGTTAAATAGCATTTTAGCATTATGGTTAATGTCAATTAATGCTGAAACCCCTAACTGTTATTCTTAATCCTAATTCCACACACTAATTTATAACCGTCTCTTGACCCTAGTAAATAGGTGGACTTTCTCAAGGTTACCGTAACGTCGCTCAAAGTCGTCTATAAATAATAGTCTCACCACGATTATTTATGTTGCCATATATTTTAGTAATACAATCAATTAAATCTTTTCACTCATTCACTGTTATTAAATTTCACATACACGGATAAATATTGAAGCCTATGTTTAAGAATTTGTCTTATTTCAGTAAAAGATTATGAAATATTTAATCACATTATAACCCTGGAGTTACTGAAAAAAGGTAAACAGACAATGTTTTCTTTGTTTATAAATTGTAATAAGGAATTCTCTAAAATTTTGACAACGAATAATATCTAGCACGGTACATAATTAATTTATGACGTACAAAAATGTGTGTGTTGCAGTTGATCAATCACTGACGGAAACTTTTCCGTACAAATATCAGCTCTAACTGTTAGTAATATCAGCCTGCCTATTTGTTTACATATTATAAGGAACTAAGTTTACATTCACGAATACCTATTCCCCCCTTCATTTTTTTCTCGTAAATGTTGTTTATTTTCCAATAATTCAATATACATGATTGTAACCTACTGTTTAGTCACAGTCGAACAATACACATGGATTGAATAAACTGATTTTGTTCTTTAGTCTTAACATTCTATTTAAAATAGGCATTATAAAACAATTCTATAAGCTTTTTTTATTATATTGACCATCTAAAATCATTGGACAAGTTTGATCTTTACATAAAACACTTATTTCTGTATATTATTTAGAAATTATGAAATTTAATTATGTCGTTGAAATAAAATCAACTTTCATGCTATAGAATTCTGTTTCATACAAAAATTGATTCCTGCATGACAATATTGAATTTCATTTTTGTGAAATTTGTATTTATTTTTTGTCTTCTTACATTTTGTTCTTTATATTCACTAGTTTGAACCCCACTATATTCTTTTTGGTTTATTTAGTGCTTTTGTGTACTATTCGCTTACTGTATTAACACAGAAATAGAGGTTATTTACACACAGATTAGCTGCGGCTGAATTACTCCCTTTATGCATTTTTCCAACGCTATAGGATTTGAGTGGTTTTTAATAGTCAGTTTTTCAATAATTTCCTATATTTCTCAGTTTTTCCGTTTAAATTACCATAAGTAGTACATTTTACACTTCATTTGGTTGATTTTCATCTATAAAATAGTGTATTGATATGCAGTAATTAGGTAACGCTCATAAAACAGGTTTACAACCAGTAACATAACTTCTAAAATGTGGGGAAAAAGCGTAGACTGATTTTGAAACATTTTTAACAGAAAATGGTTGTAAAAATAACCACTAGATAAAAAAACTCCTATTAAGCTTACATTTCGAAACAAGGTATCGAAGAAATCGAATAAATACATTCACTTGCACTATGCACCATAATCATTAAATTTTAGTGGCTTATTTTTTGGATAATCGTTCGACGCTACAAATCATCTGGACGCATGAATAAAAAAACAAATTCTCAAATTGACTAGCATGTCAATCAGAAGAAGTAATGGAATCCATGATGTGTATTTCGTCCTATATGGGACTCGTTAGGCGCATGTTTCTGCATCCCATTGTTAATGTGCACTATAGGACTCGAATCCAATGCTTTTTGCCTTAAACGTGTTATCCATTTAGCTATTGAGTCTAAACAGCCATTCACTAGCACATGACGTATGAATTTTAATTTAATTTAGGCTAACGAGTCCGATCAATTGCAGTATTTAATTTTGCAAAATTGACCACCTAGTAACCCAAATTACAAGTCTAAAAGATATTTTTGCAAAAACATTCATGTTAAGCAATACATAAGTGATTAATTCATCGAGTATCTTTAAAATAATTTCATTTCTATCGAATCAGATGTGGTCTTCGCGGTGGATATTGTGAACTTGTGAATTTTCCTGAAGATGTTCAACAACAATTATATAAATCACTTTCAGCTCGACTATGTTCTTCATTATTGGGTCAAGTAAGTGATTTTATTTAAAAGTACAAAGATTCAAGGAGAAAATTAACTTTATTCAACGTTTTAGAGTATGACCGGTTTGTATTTAAATATCCTTGACCTATTTTTGTTTTCATAAATCCACTTTATATTCGGTTATATATACCTAATGTCATTATGAAAATAACATACTAATTGTTCACTAATGACATTTTTATCGATTGAAGGTAAAGAAAGGTAAGCTCTCTGTCTATACCTAAAATTTAATTTTATGTGATTTGGGGAAATCTTGTATGATAATCAATCTCTTATAGATCAATCAAGAATATATGATACGTATTATTATAAATTGCAACGTTAATGAGAGATCGTTTGTAAACTCAAGAATGAGCTGCTAAATGTGCTATATTTTAGAGACGAGTCAATCAGATTTTTACTCCGAATTTCACTATCATGTCTAATGAGCAGTAGAAACACCCATGTATACCGCTCAAAACGTTTAAAATGATAACGAAAAAATTATTTTTTTGTCATCATAATGTAAAAGCAGTGCTGTTGAATGCATCAAGAGCTCGATTTTGTATATAACAGGAAAATCGACACTACTAAATCCTAACCCTAGACCCTTCATTTTGAAACAAACCTTAAGCTAGTGTTGTTATATTTTACTGGTGAACTAGTCAAATAGTCTCTAATACTAACACCTAACCAAGCACAGTTTGCGGACTCTTAAAAATCTATTTGGTCCTTATAAGATTTCACAAAGTTGGATAGTCTGTATCCATAAGGATGACTTTATGTGTCAGCTTCTATTGCTAATGGAGATTAAAAATTGATGAAACGACGGTATATAGCTAAGTGGTTACATCTTTTATTCTTAATGGTTATTTGAATATTCAGAATGGAGAAACGCATTAAATAATACATTGAGTCGATCAGGCTTTTACTATAAATGCTTATGTAGTCATTGTTCTCAAGTTAGTGTAAAACATCGTGCTGTTGAAAGTATTCAGCTGATAGTCTTCTCTTAATCATCTATTTTATGACGGTTGATTTCCTTTGGTTAGGTGGTTTTTACAGGTTGGTTCTAAGTAATTTCGTATATCTGTTTGTGGAATAATTTTCTGGTCCCCAAATGCCCTGGTACGGCCGAGGGTGGGGAGAGTCCGCTCTTCCTCTCGAAATGCTCTCACATGACCACGCGTATACAGCCATTACCAGGGAAGTCCCACCCACTGCTTTCTCGCAGCGGGAGTGTTGTCTACGAAGTTGAGGTGACAAAAAGCGAATGTCTAGCGCTTTAACCAGGTTGGTGGACATGGCAGATCCACCTAGAGGAGTTTGAAAACCCAATGGTACACATGGGCTCCAGCATCCTGAGGGGACACATGGCGTATGAACCAATTGTTGATGAGTGACTGCCATGGTACTGCATCTCCTGACGGTGCCCCACTACCTTGTGGATTAGACCTTCAGGTCGAAGGTCTGGGGAGTGATCCCCTAGGGAAACCACTTGCTTCGGTGTGGACACCCGCGCAGTATCACATCCCACAGACAAATCAAGTGACTTGTGTAGCGCATATGTATTCGGTGCCCATTTATACAAAAAATTATGCGTTCAAATAAATAAATACCCTTCTGCCTACTTATGTAAATATTCTAACATTAATGAAATTTGAATCAGATTTCATAGAAGAACTATTGTATTGAGTATTGATTATATCCTCATAACTTAACTGAAAAGTACACTGATTCACTATTGTGTTATATTATGAAAAATATGGTCTGAATGTTAACATTCCAACTGTATCCACCAATTGTTTAATATATTTATGCACCATGAACTATTTCACTTGTCTTTATTGATTCTTTGTCATACAATATAAATAATGTACACCATACCACACTAAATCGATTCAATTTGACCTTGTCTAGAAAGTATCCCAATATTTTTTCTTGGTATATATGTAGTCTGTCTAATATATTTTGTTCATTGTCTTTCCATATATTATATAATCTAAGAGTTTAATTTTTACAAATACTTTGATTTGCATAACCATTTTGAAATTGTTCTAAAACACATTTATATCTATCAATATAAAGTTATAATGAAAAATAAATGAAATTTCTTTACCCTATTCATCTTTTTTTACTGAATATTTAAATGGGAATAATAATCATCTGCTCACTAGTGACTGACTTCAAGAGGCATTTCCTGGAGTTCTAGTGAGAAGCTGTTACCAATGAAGTTCAACCAGGTCTGTTGTGAGATATCAGCTCACTGAAGACAATGGTGTACGGTGGCGTGATTTCGTGGATTGGTTGAAGTTAGACATTTACACCGTTGGATGCCGGCTCAATGGTCTAATGGTTAAGCGCCCGCGCGCGAGACTGATAGGTCCTGAGTCCGAATCTCGCGGGGGGATTGTGGATGCTCACTGCTGAGGAGTCCCATGCTAGGACGAAACGGCCGTCCAGTGCATGGAGGTTTTCCATGGTGTTCTAGCTTCAATTGACTCATGATTTCAACTATTTGTAGTATTCCAGTGATTAAAAAAATCAATTTTTTTTAACTTTCTGACGTTTCGTGACTTAGATATGTAGATGATACTTTTGTTGTTGTAAAAAAAGACTCATCTAAGATCTTTTTAAACTGATCTATACATTTTCATCTCACATTAAATTTATGTACAAGAATGAAAATGAACTCCGAATGAAATCGACAATATCACTTCATGACATTTTCAACAACCATCAAGTCTATATTAAAAACACCAAAATAATACAAGAAGGCTATTCCAACTACAAGGAAAGGCGAGTAGTTGAAGCTTTCTATATATTACTTAATCGTACGGCCTCCAATGGAAAGGAAGGGCTCACTATCCATCCGACTTGAACCATCTACCCGAGCTACCATGTCTGATTCTATTCACATCTCACACCATTATGGTACATATAAATTCTACTCTATCCTCTCACACCACAAATGTCACATTTTTTCATCCTTTGACATAAGTACACACACAAATATTCACACATCTCTCATATAAATCACCTTGACCGGAATGACATTGACTTGGTCAGACCTGTTTTTGATTGACTGCATCAAATATTCTTGCTTTGTTCCTTTGTACTATCTAAACTTGAGTTAATTTACTTTGTTTATTTACTCCCTGAAGATGTGGTTTACACTGAGTCATGAAACGTTAGAAAACTAAAAAACTAGTTTTTCTACACACTGGGATATTACAAATGTATTATTTTCATTAATAACAATCTACCCTATGTTCAATTTATTTGAAATTATCAAGTCGAACCTTAATAAGGACACCTACAAATTCGTTTTTGCGTTATTTTTTTGTTTTAAGGCCAAAAGTGATGAATTCCAGAGAGACACCACCTAGATGAAATCCATAAAAAATAAAATGCGTTCCTAATGTCACAGATGAAGTAGTTCAATTATGACAATTTCTATCAGGAAATTCACGTAATACACTAGATCCTAAGTGATCCAAAGAAAACAATAAGGATCTATTAATAACTAGATCCAATAAGCAAGGTAAAATAAGTAATAAGTAGGACACAGGATTTACTGATTATGATTAGATCTTACGATCTTCTAGGTCATTTTTTTAAGAAATAGAAGACAAACTAATCACAAATTTGATTATAATAGAATGTTGAGTTAGAATAATGTCTGTGACTTATGCCAAAAGAACATTTTACATACGTATTTAAAAGATGACAAAATGACAACTGAGATGGAGTATAGGGTTCATAAAATGTCACAAAGAAGTAAACAATGATAAATTTAAGGTCCATAAGAACCAATCAACATCGAGGTGTACAGAACAAGCTGTGAAACGCATATGGAGAAATTCGAACGTTTCACTTCTATCTGAAGTTTGTGCCGATGATGTTGTTCAGAAGAACGATGAAAGCTCCACGACCAAACGATCCAGCTCAGAGAACAAAACTCCATCAAAAAGAGCTAGTAAACCATTTTCCATATTACAAATCAATGATTTATTTACTGTCACCCCGGTTTGATAAACCAAGAGAAATAAGATTCTTTTCTGCTAAATAAATCTTTTCATCAACTAGATTTTGTTTCTTGTGTAAGTATCGTCATAATTTCTGACGGCAGTATAGCTTATTTTCCTTATTTTTGTTTTGGTTAGCGTGGTTGCTTTGTATCATATTTTACATTCGCAAGATTCTCTTAAATGTAATACTCCTTTTCAATACATAGATTTACATTGAAAGTATTAATACTGTAGCTGTCCGGATTCCCATATTTGTTTTCATATCGGTGAAATTTGGAGCTTCCAAAAGTCTATATGAAAAGGTGATACGATAGTTAAAGCATTTGCCTTTTAACCATCAGGTTATAAGATTGTATTCAGTCAAACTTTGAAAGTTTATGATATATGCCACAGCTTTATACGCCAACTGACACCTTTATTTCTAAGAATTTAATTTTACCAGTGATAACTTTAAGATAGTTTCAAGTGATCGAAATTAGAATATTCTGTTTGAAAATATATATTCATATTTCTAATTCATTTATATTGGTTATTTGAATATTCTCATTGATGTTTAGAAAGGCAAGTAGTCTCTTTTGTCACAGACCATTCTGACATTGTCTTGAGTCACAAGCATCGATGGATGGTGGCTAGCAGTGGAATCTAGGAGGCGCGTTTCGTTTTAAATGGGACTCGTGATTTAGATATACCTCTATCCCAGAGTTTGTGTTCATTCCGGAACTCGAACCCAGTAGCGTCGATCTCAAAGGCCATCGAGATATCCACTTAGTTACTGAGTCCAGATGTGCCAGAAGAAACTGATCAATTTCGGTCCTCAATATCAGTGGGGAAATTCCAAAATCCAACACATATGAATTCAAAACTTCACCTCGTTGCACAAGCCAGTGGCTATCTAAACTCAGTAGAATAACGCAGTGGCGTTCGAAAAGTAGCACTAGGTTCGAATCCTTAAGTGGATATCAACTCGGGGATACAATTACGTGTAGACGACGAGTCACAAACAGAACGAAACATGCATCATGGATTCAATTGTTAGCCACCGACTATCATTCCTTATATTTATATTTTGCTTCAAAAATTCCAATAAAAAGTTTGCTTCAATTTCTGATTTATCTGTGGACATATATCTACTTTCCTCTTCAATAAACTCAATTAATAATTATTAAATCAAACGATTTCTGCTTTCATTTTCATAATTGTTAGCTAACAATGGATGTGGTTGTAAATCCTCCAAAACCTCATGAATCATCTTACAATTCATTTATGAAAGAAAAATCATCAGTGCTAGAAGAACTTAAACAAAAAGCTGAACTCACTACAAAATCATTAAATTCACTTCAAGGTTTTTCATGTAATCCAATCACTGGAGCAATGTATGCATTTCCACGAATTGATCTACCTAGAAAAGCAATCGAAATAGCAAAGGTGAGTTATTTCGTTAATAAACATACATTATTTTTTTTATCAGAAAGGGTTTTGTGGAGATCTTAGTAATTTTATAGTTGAATTCATGAGTCAATTGAAGTTCAACAGAATCTGTTGTGAGATAGTAACTCACTGAAGACGATGGTGGACGATGGTTCAATTTCGTGGATTGGTGGAAGTTAGATACTAACGCCGTTAGATGCCGGTCATCTCAGTGGTGTGGAGGTTAAGCGTTCTAGTGCGAGACTGATAGGCGAGATCGTGGGTGCGCACTGCTGAGGAGTTTTATACTAGGGCGAAACAGCCATTCAGTGCTTGCAGGTTTTCCATGGTGGTTTAGCTTTAATTGACTCAAATTCAACTGTAAAATTGTTTTTATCCCATTAGTTTACGACGGTTTCTAGGTATCAGTGCCAAGGTTGGACTTGATAGTCTGAAGTAAATTGAAGATTGGTGCAGCCCTTTTTATAGTAATTTAATAGTTGAATTCATCAGTCAGTTAAAGCTAGACCATCACAAAAAACCTGGAAGCACTGGACGGAAGCACTGATCTCAATCAAAACTCAACAATCTGCACAAACCTGTACTGACAATTATCATGTGCTCACTAGTAACTAACTTAAAGATGGGTTTCCTGGAGTTCTAGTGAGAAGCTGTGACCAGTGGAGTTCAACCGTGTCTGTTGTGAGGCAGTTATTCACTGAAGACAATAGTAGACGGTCGCGTAATATCGTGGATACTATATGTAGAAAAGGTACCTACAAATACGAATGTACAACTTTAGAAAATGATGTCGAAAATAAAATTTTCCTCTCTGAAATGTTCTCATTCTTTTCAATGAAAAGATTATAATTGGTTCATATATATTGTTATAAACATACATATTGATTGGATACAGTGTATTAGAGCCGCATTAAGCAAGAGAGGACTGGAGTTACTAAAACGCATGTTACAACAACGCTTCGATGGAAATAGTTAGAACCTTATAGCGAGTCTCCAAGCGTATTATTGTAATAAATGATCCTTCATGCAAAGATAAGTTTATAGTTAGACTCGAAACTGAACTTTAAAAACCAAACCTATACATACAAATAAAAGTAATCTACTTAATGTAATTTTGGTGGAGTTTTGTTCTCTGAGCTGGATGGTTTGGTCGACCAAACCATCCAGCTCAGAGAACAAAACTCCACCAAAATCATCCACCTGAGCTACAAATCTTCTCCACCATCTTAACTTAATGTAATGTTTAGGTTCACACAGTTTGGCTTGCAGAAAAAATATTCTTAATTATTGTAAGCAGAATGAATTTGTTTAAAAAAATTCATTCTAGATTCTAAACTGTACAGAGACTTTGTTAAATGATTTACACAATATGTCAAACTAAATTAAATTGGACAGTGATTGAGGAGGGCTAGTTTCGATATTTTCAACGCTTACTCAAGTCTTTCAACTAACAAAATCCACTAAGTAACTAATTCATAAATAAAATACAATATGAGTAACCCACTTTCAGTGAAACAACACTTATTCCATAAGTTTTTTGCGCTCATTTAGTGCTCGATGGAGAGTTACAGGGTCTATAGTCCAACTGTTATATGTTTTGACTTGTAGCTTGCAACCAGATAACATAAATTCTATCAAATTCAAATATTTGTTGTCCAATACAAACTACCAATCAAGTTTACCCTAGTTTAAATACTAATACTTTTATTATTAACCAAAGATTACTTTATAATTCTATTTTGTTGAAATCATAACATTTACACTGTTGTTATTGTAATCTACTAAATAATATAGTGCAGACATGTTTATAAACCATTTAGTATGATCTATCTCCGGTAGAATTGAAGTACGTTGCGGTATTTCAACTTAAATATTGAAGGTGTAATTTGATTTTATTTATATGATGATCAATCACTCGTTTGAAATGTTTACATTTTTAGTCAAGTGATTATACCATTGAACCTTTAACCATTAAGTTGTTGATTCGAACTCCATTTCACCTACTTCAATTTCAACAATTAATTAGTATCAATAGCCCATCAATGTGACTTCGAGTGGACCACATGATAATATACTCGACTGCTAAGTCGCCCTTAAATTAAATATTAGTATATTCGTACGCTAGCAAAGTATTTAATGCACAGAATATCTTTCATACAGATCACTCATTCCTGTATGAATTTGTTTTCTTATGGTTTACATTCTGCTTGTATTCCATGACTTGTGCATAGTCTTTGCTTTTATGATGCTGCTCCTAAAATAAATGATAACTTCAAACCATTCAGCTTACTATATTTTATTTAAATATTAAAAGAATACAATCGATTATCCCAATATTACTATAGAAATATAACAGATTGAAAACTTAGTTTAGGTGACAATTTCTTAAAAGAAAAACTAAAAACTGAAAAGATTAATATGAAACAAGAAATATGGTTCGACTACAAAGATAGTCAAGATAAGTTTCATTATTCTCAAAAGAAAATCACAGATTTTAGCCAATTTGTTTTTAGAGCCATTTTTGCGTTGAATAATCTCTAAGATCCTCACCTCTATCATTGAATTCGTGATATGTCAATAGATGCTCATTTAACACACCACTCTTATAGTTTATGGTGTCATGTTATGTAAATGCAAATTTAATTTAATAATGTTTCATAAAGTCTCTAGACATTTAATTTATCTTTCTACTTTAATGACTTCGACTAGTAGATTTTCAGTAATCTTATTTACAACTTCAAGTCATCGATTTCGTAAAATGATGAACGGTTTATCAAATAAAAAAATCGCTTAATTTTTCTCTTTTTTCCAGCTAGTCAATGTACCTTGACATAACTTGTGAAATTTAATTCTGGTTGTTTATCGATGTTGTCTTAAACAATTTTTTTCAGTCGAAAGGTATGCAACCAGACTTTATGTACTGTTTGGAATTTTTGGAAGAATATGGCGTCTGTGTAGTACCAGGATCTGGATTCGGTCAAGTACCAGGAACTTGGCATTTTAGGTAAACCAATTTGCAAATATTCATTTACATCCTTCACCCTGAAACTTCCTAGAACTCGACTATATGGAGTTGGACAGCTGGAATAAACCAAAAGTATATTAACGTGGTTGACGTTATAAACATAATGCAAGGACAGTCTTACCAAGTCATTTAATTTCAGTCTGAATGGAACAGACGACTGAAAGATTTACTTAAGTTCTAGGTACCGAGGTGTCCCAGTCAATCCAACTTTTATCTAAATCCATATACAGAAGTGGACATAATCAAGTATTTTGACAAGCAGTTCAACTTTTTGATCGTTCGATGGAAAAGGTGATAGTCAAAATGATACGTATTTAGTTCTTGCCCTGTGCATTGTTTTAGTGCCTCCGTAAATTTTGTGTTCTGAAAGTTAGGAAAAAGTGTTATATCCGAGCGAAGATTAAATCACGAGTAACTTCTGAGACATATTAATTGACTAATATTATCTATATATTCTTATGGTATAACTATTAATAATTATATTATGTATATTTATATTTCCTCTTATTATAAGCTTCATTTTGATCTATAATTTATTATTGCACGATTTACTGTTCGTAAGCTATGTTCAGTTTATTGACTACTGTCTCCCACGTTCACAGCCACTTTTTGGCTTTATTATGTACAAATGTTATTCCCTATTTTATGGTGCGTCGCGGTCTGTCTTGTTGATATATAAACCCAGTATGTCTAAAATAAATGATTCGATTCGCATAGTGGGAGCTGGTGTTGGTGTTCTGGACTCAAGTGGACGGGCTAGGCGGACATAGAATCAATAAGGACGCCAGGCTGCTCATGCCGATCGAACGTCATTGGTTTAGCACAGTGCTAAGATTGTATAAGTCGTATTTTGATTGGTGGATAAATCACGTGATAACTAGCCGAATATAAAGTCATAACAAAAAGGATGGCATAGCAGATCCAAAGGTATTGTTAAGTTACTCAAAGGCTGTAACTGTTACCTCTTCTCGTTCTGCGTGATAAGGAAAGTAGGTTTAGCTTAACTGATTTTTCGTCATACGGTAGATTTGTGATTTTGAAATCACCACAGTTGCAGTTCATTAAATCGTTTTTTTCTAGATGGGCTGGGTGCTTATATATCTTTCTTTTTTAATGTTTGCGAGTAGGGTTATACAAAGGAAACAGTTCCATTTCAAATTGAAATCCGAATTTAACGGCAGATTTATCTCCTCCAAAAGTAAAAAAAACAATAATCTAACACATTCAAACTATATATATCAATTGTTTGATATCATGGTTGAATTCACAATACCTACAACCTAATCACCCAGTCATCTATTTATCATTGCAAACCCAATTTAAAATTTGTTCGTTTTCTAATAAGTTATATGGTTTTATGGAGAATAAATCCTTTCGTAATCAGTTAATAATAGAGTTGTTGAAAACTTACAAAGGCTTTCGAAAATGTTCCAAGTCGAAACTCATTTTACTTAATAAAGTATTGGAAATTCGGAAATCGTAGAATCCACGTTCCTGTATCCGAAATATATTTGAGGTTCGTTTATCTCAAACCACAATGAAATTGTTTTATCAACATTTCATTTTCGCTGACTTTTTTAGGAATCAATAATGTTCACCTTCTTTGATTTTGACATTTTTAAAAATCATAATCCATGTTACTCAGAAACAGGTTATGATTACCATAGTTGAAATACTTTTTGTTTTGTTTTGCAGAATAACAATTCTCCCTAGCATTGAAGAAATGAAACTGGTCATGGACTATTTAAAAGAATTTCATACATCTTTTTTGACAAAGTATTCTTGAATCGTCTAACTATATGACAATCCATAGAGTATCTAAAATTTTGATATTTTGATGTTATATACATACAACTTTCACATTCTCATTCATCAATGTACACACAGATATTTTTCTTCGTATCCAATCAGAATTTTTTCTTTTTTCCTCTTTTCAGTTATCTATCTCTGAATCTACTACATTCAGCTGTTGTACTAATGTTTAATTCTTATCTATTTAAAACTCCAATTATCAAACAAGGTTACGTAGTAATCAAGGCATTCTTATCTAACTCCCTAAATATTATGTAACCTTGTTTGATAATTAGAGTCTTGAATCACTTTATGATGTAATCTATTCTATCCTTTTGTTTATTTATTTATCTATCTACAAACAATCGATTGATTAATAGTTTATGCAAAAAAAAAAGAATGATGATTTAAATGGTTTAGTAATTTCCAATTAATTCCTACATTAATGTATGTGCCCATCCAAACCTTGCTAAACTGATCACAGTTAATTAACGTTTATTGTGTGTGTGTTTTTTTTTTAGAATTTTTTTCTGTTCACCTTCTTGTACTTTTTATCATGTGGAAAAGTATAAATAATTTATCATATTAATTGATATTTAATTATTTCTGTTCTAAACTGATATCACATGAAACTATCGTTAGAAACCAAAAAAATATAGTAAATAATTATTTCCTTATCCTTAACCTGTTCATGGAATAGAATCTATAATTCCAACTGATTACTTAATTAATATTTCATTGATTATGTCGACTTTAAAAAAATGTTCCATCCGTTTTTGTGAACCTACTCAACAACAAAAACAAAAAAACATTTAAAAAACGTAAAAGTAATTTACTCTTTCTTGTAAATGATCAAAATCAGGATGAATATAACGCTAGGATTATCTAGTGATTTATTTGAACACATACATATTGGTACGAAAGGGCACCGAATACATATGCGCCACACAAATCTCATTTGATTTGTGTGTGGGCTGTGATACTGCCTGGGTGCCCACACCGAAGCAGGTGATTTTCTTAGGGGGTCACACCTGGAGCCTTCGACCTAAAGGTCTGGTCCACAATCCGATGGAGCATCGTTAGGAGATTCAGTCCCATGGTAGCCAGTGACAAACGATTGGTTCATATGCAATGTGTCTCCTCAGGATACTGGAGCTCATGTGCACCATTGGTTTGAAATCAGGGTTTTCCAACTTCCCTAAGTGGACTTTCCGTGTCCACCAACCCGGTTAAAGCCCCGGACATTCACTTTTCGTCCTCTCAATTTCGTAAACAACACCATTGCTGCGAGAAGGCAGTGAGTAGGACTTACCTGGAAATTAAATGGTAACCCTCCTACATTCATCACCTAACATCAAATCCGTTTCTGAAAATCTTGTCCAAGTTAAGATCTCCGAAAATATTTTTTAAAGAACTCACTAAAAACAAATTTACCATTCAGTCAATGATTTGAAAGCTCAGGGACGTGTTAGAAACTTCTATTAGTCTTATTAACTATCAAATTAACTACAGTACTATTAGAAGTAATCGTCAGATTTTAGTAAAGCAAACAAAAAAATCGACTTAATATTCATTATTTCCACGAAACCTACCAAGCTATTTATTGAGCACTATAATAAAAACCCTTCAAATGTGATAAATATTGTTTATACAGAGAATAAAACAAAACACATATTCAATGTATACATGTATCTTAATGTTGATGTGTGTACAATTTAAGTGTGTTCATCACCAGGTATTAGTAACCGAGGGATCAGTAAATATCAGGGAGCACTAGGCGGTTTTATAAATCCCCAACGGATACCTAAGCATGACAGGTATTCACAGACTAATATTGGTTCAAACTTCTATGAATAACACCTTTTCAAGTAAATAAAGATTATTGATGATAAGATTTCGACAACAAACATTTACTTTATTCTTAACGAGCCAATTATCTCATCTGCTCTTAGAAAAAGTATCTTAACCTAACAGTTACAATAGGATCGTCTTTGAAATGAATGAATCATTACAAGAATCTTGCACTAATGATAAACAAGTTATAATATTTTCGATCATTTCAGTAAGCATAAATAGTTTTATTTATCATGTAATTATGAAGGCCCCAGTATAGACTGTCAAGTTTAGTACAGTAGTGTACGTCTTCCTTTGAATGGTGCTACCCTACTTCTTGGCGATCATGTGATTAGTATTTATCAAAACATTTATCCTACTGTTATGAACGACATTGAAACCTCGATGACAGTAGCTTATTCGTAAACTAATCATGATTTTCACTTGATATTGTTTTACTTGAATCTTCCCATTGATGTTTTTTGGACTGAAATTGATCAGTCTCTTATTGGCATATGTGCATACTGTGCGTATGCCTCGATATTGCCTTAATTTACAAGCATTATAAGCAAAGATGGATAGTGGCTAGCAGTGGAATCCAGGACGCGCGTTTCGTCCTGTTTGGGACTCGTCAGCTGGATGTACCTGCATCTCAGAGTAAAACAATATCAAGTGAATTCAACTTCAACCCATTGCACAAGCAAGTGGCTATCAGGACTCAGTAGCTAAGTGGATAACGCGATGGCGTTTGAAGCGAACGGTACTGAGTTCGAGTCCCAGAGTGAACATCAACTCTGAGATGCAGGTACATCCAGCTGACGAGTCCCAAACAGGACGAAACGCGCGTCCTGGATTCCACTGATAGCCACTATCCATCTATGCTTATAATCATGATTTTATTCAAGTACTTACAAATCATTAGTAGTATAAAGTTTTATAACAAAATTTATTCTCAAGCGATTATTTCAGTGGGCTTAGATAAATTCTAAAACACCGCTCTGGTTAGATATGTAGTGTTATGGCCCAAAGCGGCAAACCAGAAGCAGAGAGTTATCGATCGAACCAAGGACGCGTGAAACACGTGCGAGCAGCCTAGAGTCCTGATTGGCCCTACTTTCCGCCTAGCTCAGCCAGTTAAGTCCAGAACACCAGTCTCAGCCTATGTAATATGAATCATTATATTTCAAACATACTGAGTTTATATACCAATTAAACAGATCACAACGTACCAATAAAATATGAAACAACATTTGTACAAGATTTGGCCAAATGTGTCTATGAATGAGGGAGGTAGTAATTAATATACTGGGTATAACTCGAGAATGGTAAAACGTATAATAATAATAGGTTATGGGTCAAAATAAAGCTTATAATAAGAGGAATATGAATATGCATAGTTTAGTTACTTAATAATTATACAATAGAAATATACGTTTAGTATTGATCCATCAATAGATTCCAAAAGTTACCATTCATTACTCTTTTCGGGACATAACATGTAACAATTGATAAAATTTCAACCTGCTTTGCCAGTGATATTGTTAGAAGCACTAACACAACGACTGGAGACTAGGATCTCTTATTATTCCATTAATATAATTTTAAGAAGAAATGAAAATTTAACAAAGAAAATTTCTATTACAACGATATTCTGTAATAAAGATTTGCAGTCTCACTTATGTCTATTTAGCAAACATAGTCTATTACAAAAACCAAAATAGATTAGGTAGTTGATTGTTTGGAAATTTTCAGAATCACAATAGGGTTGTTTATAGGTCTAAAGATTGAAGAAAAGTAGAAGGATGAAAATAATATCCATAACAGAAATATGTGAAACAATCGTCCACATAATAGATATGCAAGAGAATTATAACACATGAAATCTACAGGTTATGATTTTCGCTAGCTTTAATTCCATCGGTTTGAGTATTTTGATGACTTTGAAGAATAATTCTGGTGTGGCAAAGTGACCAGAATCTGTAAGATGTTCGGAAATTAGAAGATTATCTATTTTGAATATTTTTCAAATTTACTTAATAGTCCCACCACTATCATAGGAAAAAAATAATTACCCAAACAACTCATATCACACAAGAAAAGCAGAAAGTTACACATATCGTTTTCAAACATTAATTTTATGTGAATTGAAACGACTTCAAGTTATTGTATAGAACAAGCGTTGAGAACAGCTACAAGCAGTAGTTCAAAGTAAAAATATGAGATATACAGTATTTCTTTGAAAGACAAAGTGAGATCATTACAGATTTGGAGGAATATTTTAAAAGTTGCTAAACAACTTCCAGAAAATTGAAATCTGAAGTTAATAAAATATTTAACAAAGACGGATTTTGGATTCCCTAAGAACAATTAGGGAGTGGGTAATTATCTCCTAAGTTGTGGCATCTTGTTTATTGAAATTTCTTCAGATGTCCTTCTTGCGTTAACTGTGAATCCTGTGCCCTAAGGTAAGGCAGCTCCGTTGGGAGAACAAGATAGAAAAACCACGAGTCATGTTCTTTAAAAATCTTCCTGTTAGTAAATAGGAAATATTCGATAGTTATTGAAAAAGAAAACCATATTGGCATTGCTGAGATTTCAACTCCGTGAATAAATCATTGAATTTTAATCCTAACGGACGATATTGATTACACAGTGATATGTTTTGAGTTGAGGTTTTCCAACTACTTTGGTCATAAACTTGAGACCTGGATTTACCCTACAGTAGCGTTATATATGATTAAAATTAGACTTGTAAACCACTGAATGGCGACTCAATGGTTTGAGGGTTTAGCTTTCTCTGTGAGAACTGAAGATCCTGGGTTCTGCATCCATCGGAGTTATGGATGAGCACTTCTGAACAGTTCCATATTATGGTGAAACACCTGTCCAGTGCATCCTAATTTTAAATGGTTCTTTAACTCAGGACGGTACGTGATCTGAATTGCACTCAACAATCTTGACAAATCCTTGAACTGATCATACTATTCACCTGAAAGGTAATAAGTATACTCTTAAACAAATTAACAACAATATCATAAAGGGTTGCATGATACAAGTCAAAATAATTATGTAACCTAAACGTGCTATATTCGTCTAATTCATTATTTTTTACATGCTTGCGTGATTAGTTATTAACTTCTATCTATATACATTTTATGCACTGTATGTATGTCTATTTATCTACTTACTGTATTAAATTTATGGACTACACATAAACTGATTCGATAATTCAGCGAATGATTAATAACCACATTAACCCAAATACATCACTATTGATTATCAAATCAGTCAGTTTGCCAGAACAATCGATGATCTCATCTCTCTACACCACACATATTTCACACTTCTTACCATCTCTATATTCTTATACATTTGATCTGATGATTCAGCTTGTCATATTGTCACTTGAATTTATTAAACAACAAAATTAATCTAAGCAACATACTAAATTAACCATAATCTTGAACCATTCAATTCAGAAGTCCTAGTAAATGAAGCAAATACTTTGAATAATACTGAACGATAATGATAACATTTCATAAATTAAAGAAAGCAGTTATCTAAGACGAATTTATTCACCTATCAATTATAACATATTTAATCACAATGTATCCGTATTTTTCAATTATAGATTTATTAATATAGTAGTTATGCTAAGATACCTTACAAAATCTTTTCTTAACATTCATATACATTCCAATACAATTGTTAAAGCATTATTCAGTTCTAATATCAAATGAATAATTGGCATTACAATACTAGTTGTTTTTTTTTCTCTAATAATCAAAGATACTAAAATTCGAATTAAGTCACATGTTCATGACCCATAAAATAGAACACACATGACTTTGAAAGAAAATAAAACGTACTAATCATCTGTTGAAGATATAATACTTGGAAGGTATTTGTAAACTTTACAAAAGGTAGGTAATATATAATGACATTATTATTTTCTTA